CTAAGATATTGACACAATATATAAAGAGAACACTAAATCATAGCTTTGCCTTTCATTATGCCATATATTTTAATCCAACAATTCATATGGTTGTAGAAAAATGGTTGGGATACATTCTCATAAAACTTCCATTTAACCTAGTTTCATTTATTTCTGGTCAAGTATGAATTTTCAAGCGTTGATGATTTTTTTTTTTATTTCCCGCAAGAATCCTCATATTAAAGGCAATTTTATTTGGGACACTGTCGTCATAGAGGTGGGAATCAAGGCGGGCTCGACCCTTAAAGGCTCATACCTTAAAATTCAATTACCTAAAATTTGACCTAATTTTAAGGCTCGGCCTTTATTTATGGGGCTCAAGGCCGGGTCCTTAAGCCCTCTTTCTCATATAAAATTTAATATAAAATTTGATAAAAATTTAAAATTTAAAATTTAAGATGAAGATTAAAATCTTGATCAATGTAAATTTAAATCCTTTTTATCATCATCATCTAAAAATAAAATATTAGATTTCTCAAATATAGGTCTACTTATTGAAGATGGAGGTAGAGATTTAATGTTAATTATCTCTGCAACTTCTTCTTCATCATTTACAATAAATATTAACTAAATTATATAATTATCAGTCGTGTGAGAGAGAGAGAGAGAGAGAGAGAGAGAGAGATAATCTAGTTTATCCGGCCTTTAAAGGCCACCTGGGCTCAAGTCTCTTTTTACAGAGCTTATTAAGATCAAGCTCTCAAGCCTGGCTACTTTAAAAAAATTAATTTTTAAAGCCCCAATCTTTATTTAAATGTGAGTAATTCTATTAGTAATGTGAGTGAGAGAGAGAGAGAGAGAGAGAGATAATCTAGTTTATTCGGCCTTTAAAGGCCACCCGGGCCCAAACCTCTATTTACAGAGCTTATTAGAATCAAGCTCTCAAGCCTGACTACTTTAAAAAAATTAATTTTTAAAGCCCTAATCTTTATTTAAATGTGAGTAATTCTATTAGTAAGGACTCACTAGATGAAAGGGTTTGAGACATAGATGATATCCAAACTAAAGAAGCCCACTTTCCTTCTCTGTTGTAAATGGAAAACCACTGTCAGATGTAGGAAGTTGCTTGCCAAATAGGAGGTGAAAAGATCCAAATACCCATTAGTAATTTAAATCAATCAAACCAATAAAAATGAGTTAAAGACAATTTTTCCCTTCATTTTTTTTAAGGAGTGCTGAGTAATTTGTATTGGAGGGTAGGACACTATTTTCCTTAGATAGTGATTTTCAATAGCAAAATTGTCCTTCTATTAGAGATCATTCATCAACTTTATCATTTATTAATATAGAATAGTTGTATGGCCCAAACAAAATAACAACAAGGCATTCAAACATATTTTGTCACTAAAATCAAGCTTAGGTTCTACCACTGCCACTGTCATTTTTAGCCCTTTTGACCCATTTAAGGTGGTCAGAATGGGTTAAGATGCTATGATGTCATTGTGTATGAACTTTACAATTATTTTACGTCAGCAGATAATGAATAAGATGATGAGTCTTTGAGGAAAAGATGATTTTATTTATGAAAAAAATTGCTTAGAAGGTATTGCTCTACCTTTTAATATATAGAGCCCAACGTTTCTAAAAAAATTTAGGAGAAAAATGAATCTGCAACCCAAAAAAAAAGTTAGTAATAATAACTACGCTCACTTTTAAGTTTTATCACATTAATATTAATATATTATTTAATATTTAGTATCAATATCGATTCATCATCGTAATTTGTTGGTGTATGGAAGAGAAAGATTTCCAAATCACCTCCAATAGTTCTTTGTTTTTACTTTTTACAATCTAGCAAGCAAAAATCACAATTCTTGCTTTCACCTCTGTGGAAGTATTTGGTTGAAAAGGAACAGGTGTGGGTGATTGGGTGTCAAACAAAACAAAAAGAATTAGGTGTGCGGTGCTCTACCGTGTTTGTTAATTGTTATCTATTGACTTCATTACAAATGGATATTTCTTGTTACTTTTCTAATAAATAATTCAAAAAAGTAGTCAACTTATTTTTTTTAATTGGATTTGATTGATAAATTTTTTTACAGGGAAACAATTATCGTTTGTTATTCAATTATAATCATTTCTTCAAATAAAGTAACCTTTTTTCAATCATAACAAATAATTAATTTTTAATAGTTACACTTGACTTGTAAACAAAAATGACACAAATGAACTTGTTATTTTCTATTTTGTTTTAATAAATATAATCCTAACAAGGTTAGTCACCAATTTTTTATAGTTAGACTTACTGATAAAATAATTTCTGGAGAGATACTTATAATTTGTTATCTAGTTATAGTTGCGCTTGACTCACCAAGAAAAATGACAAAAGAAAACTCATCATTTTCTATTTCGTTTTAGTCAATAATCCTAATAAAGTAGCTATTGATTTTTTTAGTTAGGCTTGAGTGATAATTTTTTTTTTAAAGAAGCACTTGTCATTTGTTACTTAACTGTATTCACTTACCTGAATAAAGTAGTCATTTTCTAATTAATTGATTTTTAATAGTTGTACTTGACTAATAAACAAAAATGACATAAAAGAACTTGTCATTTTCTATTTAATTTTAATTAATAATCCAAACAAATAAGTCATTGATTTTTTAATTGTCAGACTTGATTGATAGTTTTTTTTTTTTAAAAAAAAGAGGCACTTGTTGTTTGTTATTTAGCTACAATCATTTTTTCAAAGTTACAAAATAATTATTTTCTAATCATAACTAGTCACAATTTTTTAATAGTTACGTTTGATTAATAAATAATAACTTATAAAATAGTCATTTATCAATAGTAACGTGTTATTTTCTATTACATTCTCCTCAATACTCCAAATAAAGTTGTTATTTCCCATAACATCAACACATAGCATAAGTATTGACAGAAATTAGAGAAGTCATTACAAGTAACCGTATTTTAGGTAAGTGTGGAATCAAATCCCCATACTGATATGAGAATTTTGTTGATTTATAATTTGTATTTACAGTAAGTACTAAAGTATGACGTGTGCTTTATTCTTAGCAACTGACTCAATTATTTAAACCATCACTAAAACAATCAATATAACTTAAGAATACAAAAATTAAGAATAATAATGTAATGTAATTAGATTCTGCATCCACATCTTAAAGATTGAATTCATAAATTCATAAATTTTATAATTTATAATTAAAATCGATGTATAGCCTAGATGGAGACATCATCTTTTTGATAGCCCATAAAGTAATTGAGCACTTAAAAATTAGATGCCTTAAGTTTATTGATATTAATGATTTTTTTTTATAAGCAGGAGTAGATGAATTATTTTCCACCAATGCATTATACTCCCTTCGTCTTAAATTATAAGACACTTTGGAAGGAGTTTTTTTTTATCGTAAAATATAAAATATTTTGAGTAAATTAAAATTTCACTAAATGCATCAATTCTAATATTACCTTTTCTTTTCTTATAATTAATTTTTGTCCTTTCTCTTTTCAATATATTAAATGATGGGTATTTTTAAAAATTTATATTTTTATTTTAAAAAAATAAGGTTGTTAAGTGTATTTAATAAGGTTTATTGGTATGTGAGATTTTACCTAAAAGTATCTTATAATTTGAGATGGAGGAAATATATTATTCATTTATACTTTTGACTTTGATATTATTTTATTTTTATATTTAATAGTCTAGCATATCAAATCCCAGCGGAAAATAGATCATAATCCAGCTATCAGTAGAAACTCTTTAATAAAATTAAATTTTGAACTTCGAGTAATTGAGTATTATTTTTATTTCAATATTATTTAATAATATTTAGTTATACCAATTTCACAATCTTATCTATATCAATCTTTCTGAGTCATAACCTTAAATCTTGAATGATTCTGAGAACTAACCCCTTCATTTTTTTTAATTTTAATTTAAATTAACAAATACCAAAGGTCAAAAGGACATGCTTTTTGATTTTTTTTTAATATGAAAAAAGCCATGGTCATTAAATTAGGCCATGTCATGATGCAAGGATTAAAGACGCGCATTTAACTCATTACCCATTTCATCAATTATTAATTGCTATACTATATTTAATAGGATGTTTAAAGAAAATCATAGAACCAACATTCATGTTATGATTATATTGGGAAATCAATTCACGCAAAAATATTTTTGTCTGCACTAGATCCTATTAGGCCTATGTCTTTTGTCCATAGTAGAAATCATTTTCCCTCTCTCTCTTAAAACTCTCACATTTATTCAACTCCATTGTACCTGAAATCAACCTTTCACCAATATTATAAAAAAGATTAGAGATCTTGTCATTGTCATGAGATAAAAAATAATTACTCTGAATCATGAGTTCAAAAAAGCTAGCAAATATACGGAATGTCTTGCTTGCAAAGTGTTAAATGAGAACCTTAATATTATGATTTTTTATGATTTATGTTTAGAGTGTTGTACCTTTATAACATGAGTTGGTTACGTTTCTTTAGTCTATTATTCTGTCTCCTTGTATTAAAAAAATATTTTTCACAATACTGAGGATAAATAATAGTTCCTTTCAACTAAGATTGGTGAAATATAAGTATTTTTTTGATGAAAGTAAAATATAAGTTTTTTTTTAAATTCATGATCATATGCAAATTTAATTTAAATGGGAGATTATCAACAAAGGGCTTTCGAAACAATTTTTTTTTTAAATTTCTAACACATAAATATTAACAAATTAATAAGTAAAGTGCTCGGAGCCCTCGTAGAATATTAACATTTTTTCTGGATCTTTCAATTGATGTTCTCCCAGTTAAGATTGCAAATCTTACCCATCACTATACCGTTTGAATTTCTGAGTGTCCCACACAGTATGACTGGTTAAATCAATCTGTAATCTATTTATTTAGATACCGTTTTGTTAAAGAAAAACGAAAAGAAAAGAAAATTAGACAGCGTTTGAATATCGGTGGCCACATAGTGAGTGTCAACCTGAGAAACCTTTCTCATCCAGAGCCCAACACAAAACGTTTGCCTCGGGAGTCGGGGACACCATTGAAGCTTCTCTCTTCATCGCCACGTCAACAACACCAGTAGTCCCTCGTTTCGCTTGAGTGGAAGAGTGCGTTTTTTTTTTTTTTTTATCATCATCTTGGCTATTCCAGCTCGCCATTGCTTGATCAATCCCTCAACGTCATTGCCAGAGACACAGCAGCGAGTTTCGTGAAACGTGAACGAACAAGGTCCTCCGTAGTCCGTAGACTGTATGTCTTTTCTGTGACTCCTTCTTTTTCCTCTTTTAAGTGCGAGTGTGTATCTATTGATGCTCCCATTGGAATGAGTTGTTTCCGGGTCAATGATCCTACTGTGGGCATTTTATAAATTTTATGTTCTTGGGAAAAGTGTAATTTATAATTTTTACTGCAATGCGCTCTTTCGATCACGAAATTTGTTTTCCTGAGCTTCAGCTTCAAATGGGTTCTCAGTAATTTCTCTGATTTTGGTTTTCTCCTTGGGCAATTGTTAAAGAGTCCTTCTAGTCAACAGAGAGTTAAGTTCAATCTTGCAGTGGAGCCTATTTATATGCAAACGGTTTTAGAAGATGGGGAGGAAGAAGGAATTAAACAAGGAAGAGATTGCTGAGGATTGGTGCTTTATTTGTAAGGATGGAGGACTATTGATCTTGTGTGAATACAAGTAAGTTCCGAACCTTGAATTTATATGCTTAGTCTGTGATATCGTTCATTATTTCTCTGCAAATCATGCTTTTAATTGAAAAGGGTCCACCAGCTTTTGCATTGGTCAATTTTGTTCTTAAAGGTGGCTAAAAGGATGAAATTAGTCGGTCCATTCACACAATGGAAATACCACTCCAATAAATCCTTAACCTTCCTATGATGATGTCTGCATTTCTATGCTGAATACATAGCATGATAGCACTGGTGCAGTTTTATCGTCAAATGTGACCTCACATGGTGTAGGCGTCAAAGGCCTGAAGGACCTATTTGTTGCATGACTAAATTGATATGGAAGTAAAGTGATTGTATATAAAGTTCTTAAAATAATATATTTTGGCTTTCATTTTCTTTGTTAGTCAGAACACTTCGGTCATAACGTTCTTGTTGTTTGAGTTTATGCTCACTGAAAATGTTAAGGGCAGTGCTGGATAATTTCTGACTTTGTTTGTCAAAGCTTTTCTAAGTGATTATAAAACAGCTTCAAGTTGGGCACCTCTTGTGGTATGGCCTTAGCTTTGTTGATATCTAATACAAAGAAACAAAGAAAAATCATGAGTCAGTTTTTTAAAAGTAGGTGTTTACCTTTTTTCTTTTTTTAACTGAATAGAAAAATTCTGGTTAGTTTGCATAGTTCTACAAGTCTATTGTACTTATGCTCAGTTATCACAAACAATGGCACACTTTACATTCTTGATGGATATGGATGAGGATGATTTGACCAGGGACAAGCACATCAAGGTCATGGATGAAACTTTCTTTCTGATCAAAGTTACTCATGTTGCTTTCAGGGACTGCCTTAAAGCATACCACACTGAGTGTGTGGGGAAAGAAGAATCCTTTTCAAAGACTGGCAATTATCCGCGTTGTAGTAAGTTGCATTTGTATCTCTCAACTATTATTGCAAAACATTTTATCTCCTCTTCTTTTTGTTTCCTTTTCAGCACAGTACTTATTCGTGGTGGATTTGATATCCAACAGTTGTAACTTACCTTTTGTGTACAGTAGATACCCCCTCCTTCACTCTCAAGCACTTTTTACCTTCCACAATAGCTTGTTTTGAATGTCACATGATTTGTCCTTAACTGCAAGAGACCACAATATACCGTATGTTTTTTTTTCCTTGACCATGTGACAAAATTCCACATCCAAGTTGCTCCTTAGTGCTGGGAGGCCTAGCAGAAAATTTAAAATATTCTGGGTGACGTTTTTTTTTTTTTTTGGGTCTCTGTATGTGTTCACTTTTACAAATGATTCCAAAAGGTTTTCACATTTTTCTCTCTCTCTCTTAAGTGCATTCCAAAATAATTATCCGTTGCTTGTAAAATTTCAGGTTGGCATAATTGCTTCCTTTGCCACAAAGCCTCAAAATTTCAGTGCTTTTGCTGTCCAAATGCTGTTTGTGGGCGCTGCTTCTGCGATGCTGAGTTTTCAGTTGTCAAAGGGAATAAAGGATTTTGTAGTCACTGCTTGAGACTTGCACAACTTGTAGAGGAAAATGCTGATGTTGATTCTGATGGGGTAAGATCGTTTTCATCATTTTTATATAAAAGATAAACTATTAGACTGAAGTCCTGAGCCCTTGGAATTTTAGTTGAAAAAGAGAAATTACTAATTGTTTTCCATTCATGCACAGTTGGAAAATTCTTGATGTGAACTTTCCAAGTTGATGGATAAAATTAGAGATAAAAGCAATGAAGGATAGTTTATTTTGGATGTGAGTTTTGAGGTTCAAAATATGAAAACTGGCATTTTTTAGAACTGAATCATGCAATTGTCTGTTACCAAGTTATCGTAACACTACCATTAAAACATTCGTTGTTGAATGCTGAACTGACTCTGAAATCTGAAGAATGACCACTTAATATTTATTGATTTAAATTTCAGTTTCTGCCATGTTTTAGATTTGTACCTAACACAACTATAATTTACAGTAATATATTTCTTGTGGAGGTTTAGCTTTGTCTGTGTGTGTGTGTGTCACTGGAATTGTGATGCTTTACTTTGAAAAGTTTTATTATTCTTTTATATCTGATTGTGCCTTTCTGCTTTTAAATCTACAGGAAAAGATAGACTTTAAAGACCAAGATACATATGAATTCTTATTTTCAGATTATTATAAGATTATCAAGGGACAAGAAGGGTGGAATTCTCAGCAAGTACATTCTGCCTATAAGTTATTGAAGAATGGTAAAAACTACAACTGTGACTGGGAGTTGTGTGAAATGGGTGACGGGGATAATGATTCTGAAGAATCCGAAGATAACTTTGTTGTTTCTGATGATGATGGTTTTAATGACATAGAAGTAGGTAAGCCAGGGAAGAAGCGGAAGAGTCATGTAAGGGAGGTGAAAACAACTAAAGAAAAGGCAAAGGATAAGAAAAAGGAGTTTATTGGATGGGGTTCCAGAGGTCTTGTTGAATTTCTCCACCATATTGGTAGAGACACTAGCAAAGTGTTATCTCAACATGATGTTTGCTCCATCATTATTCAGTACTGCAAAGAGAACAAGCTTTTTCACCCTGAGAAAAAGAAAAAGATAATTTTTGATGCAAAGCTAAAGAGTTTGTTGGGCAGGAAATCAGTGAATAAGAACAGTATATATAATCTTTTGACGCCACATTTTGCTGACAATTGTGAAGAAATGGAAGATGATACCACTAGTGGTTCAGAAGATAGGGATAAAAATGAGTCAGTCAATTGTAAAAAGCAGAGAAGACTAAGCTCAAGTTCAACATCTTATGAGGATCTAGTTTCAGAAGGACATCAAAGCTGTTTTGCAGCCATAGTTTCATCAAATATCAAGCTTGTCTACTTGAAGAGGAGTTTAATAGAGGAGCTTTTGACTCAGCCAGCAACTTTTGATGGCAAAGTGATTGGAAGTTTTGTGAGAGTCAAATCTGATCCAAATGACTATTTACAGAAGAATTCTCATCAGCTATTGCAAGTTGTAGGTAGTTTTCTCCCCCATGTTTCTAGTCATTATCTGTCATAACAAGTCAATTATGAAATCATTAAATTCATGATTCAAGAAAGATGCATATGTGGTAAAGTATTGCTGTTTAAAGAAAATTAGAATTTCAAAAATATTAGTCAATGAAAGTTTTCCATTGCAACAAAAACACGAAGGTTCAAAATCAAACCTATGACTTTTTGCAGACTACGTTGCATTGTACCACTAGCTCACTGCTAGCGGATTGAATGGGGCAGATTTGAATACTTATTAGTTTTACTTTGAATCATGAGCATCCTTGATGTAGAACCAATAGCAAGAATAGAGAACAAGGGGGATGGTGGAAGAGATTGAGGGAGAGTAAGAAAGAAGGTAGAAGAATCTGAATCTTATTAATAATACCAGCTATTCCCAATGGAGCCATCTCAATCATCAGAGAATTGTTTTCATCACGCACCAAACAAGATATATATTTTAAGAAGCACCTTCCAATTTTAGCTAGAGCTTTCAGGATCTCATTGAAGTTACGGATGTTGTGAAGATATTGGTAAATGTCATATCTAATTACTGACACATCATGCTTTAATGCAAACAATTAAACATTTCATAAAATTAACTGGGACATTGGGCCTAAAGCACAAATACAAAAACTGGGGAAATATGCTGTGACATGTTGGGAAGATATTGGTAGATGTCATTTCTAATTTCTGACACATCGTGCTTTAATGTTAACAATTAAACCACTTCATAGAATTAACTCGGACACTTGGCCTAAAGCCCAAATGCAAAAACAGGGGAAAAATGTTGTGAGAAGATTGTCATGATTTCTAAATGACTTTGTATATCTTCATTTGCTGCAGACATGATATTTCAAATAATGCAAGTGATATTTATTTTTCAACGGTTGACTTATTTCTTCTATATGCATTGCATTTATTGACATTCTGTTTCTTCATCAATTTCAGGCATTAAAAGACCTTTAAAGAATAATGAAATCAACAAAGAAATTCTGCTTCATCTTTCCAATGTGCCAATAGATGTGCCTATTTGTAAAGTTTCTGATGATGACTTTTCTGAGGTACTAATGCTGTTGTAACAAGCTTTTGGGGTTCATTTGTCCCTGTTTTATGGAGATATGGGAGAAAAATAAGAAACCAATTTGAAATCAATTTGGACAGTTAAAGTGTCCTAATAAGTTTCTCCAGTGACCATAGCCATATGGATTTGTAATTTGTTTCTGGCCACTGAACTTTTTCATCTAGTTAATTATAATCATATAGAAAATCGTGTCTACTGTATAGTCTCTTTTGGGTTCATTTTTTTATTAATCTGGTATAAAATTTTTTTAAATATGATACTTTTCCTGTTGCAGAGTTCACTCTATTTCTATTCTAATAATTCTAAATCAATTTCTCCAGGCGTAGCTTTATAATGTTTGGAATTTTCTGCAGGAAGAATGCCGTGATCTGAATCAAAGGATGAAAGATGGTCTACTTTCACAGCCTAAAGTCGTAAGTTAATCGTGCATTAGCAATTTAGTTTCTGTTTCTGTGACATTAGGATTCCCATTGTAATTTGACCTTGATCTGGTATGAGGATGGTTTCCTCTAAATCTTAACTGAGTTAACAAATAAAATTATTGTTTAGCACAAAATTATGCTGGCTGTATGATTTAATGCGGGGAAAAGTTCTTTAGAACTTAATACTTTCTATTTATTATTTAAGATGTTATTTCTTAATAATTTCCTATCTTCATTTGTCTCTTTGGATAGATATCACATTCTCTAATCCTCATTGTTATGGTTGTTCCTTAAGTATGTAACCCTATGGCTATATCTTTTTGAGACACTGTTAAAAGCTTTTTGACTGTTTAGTAATTGGAAGATGAGCCTTGTTTTCTTCAGTTTCATCCTAACTCAGTCCCTATATTACTTTTCTATTTTGTATCCCAGCTACTGTGGTTACAAGGGTATAGAGAATTATGTGAGATTTGGATGGTTTGGTGTTTGAGAGTGAGAAGGAATTACCTTGTCAATTGGGAGTTTTGCTGGACGCCAGGAAATTAAGAGGGAAAGGCCCCTTCTGTGATCCTGTTCTTTGCTTGGACGCCATTCAGATTGATTAATTGGGATAATACTAATGACATGATACATTTTTTCAGATTTAAAAGGCTCTATCTTCTTATATGTGTATTATATAAATGTCCCCCTTTGAATGTCCAACACACACTCTTCTACAATGTCAGGCGGTTTCTATTTTTCTTGTTTTCAATATTTGTAGAATTAATCATTTGAACTGTTACTTTACATGCTTTATATAAGGATAATTTACTCCTTATGGACTTCTTTCTGTCTAATGATATTCTTCAAAATGAAACGGTTATATGTTATATGAAATCAGTGTTTAATGTATAATTTTTAGGATATTCAAAAAAGTGATGATTTTATCTGGAGGGGTGCCGGGACATGGATGGGGAGGGACGCACTTGATAGTTGATACCCACAGCTGCCTTTGAAACTGATATGAAACATGCTTTAACTTACACATATACACATGCAAGCGCGCGTACATACAAATGATAATTACAATCTTTGGCCAACATGTTCAAATTGATGCTGTTTTTCAGACTTACCTCCTGTGACATGACAATTATGGTTCTTTCAAATCTAAGTTGGATTCATAGAATAATCAATATAAAGACTGGATTAATAAAATAACGCAAATGGTTGCTAACCATTTTCTTTGTTTTACAGGTAGAGCTTGAACAGAAAGCCAGAAGTCTTCATGAAGATATTATAAAGCATGTATGTGTCGACATTTTGTCTAAACCTCTTTTATATCTATTGAATTTCATTTTATTGCCACCTGCTGTTCCCAGAGTCTTAACAATGAAACATTGATTATTTTTAACCAAAATGAAATCAGATGCTATGTGTGAAGAGAAATTGTTCCAAGGTGAAAGTTGACTTCTTTGTTTTCCAACATGCTTCAAATTTTGTAATTTTAACGTTTATGAAATTGCTGTCCTTAACTTGAGCACATTTAAGCTGGCCCAACTGGCATCACCCTATGAAAATACTTCCTTTGGGCCTACTTGTAAAAAGCAAATCATAGTTAACCGGGCCTATTTATAAGAAACTAATCATAGTTAAATATGATTTGTTTCTTATAAGTAGTCCTAGAGATAGTTAAATATGATTTGTTTCTTATAAGTAGTCCTAGAGGTAGTATGATGAATTGTTAAACGTTGGTTTAAAAGTCAGAATCTAGCTGTCTGCCTGGATCTAGTCCATGAAGAGACGTTTAGGTTTGTTGAGCACATGACTCAGCACTCTTGACTCCCAAATCCCACTATTAATGGACGCCGTAGGCATTTTTTAATGTTACTCGTGATCACTTTCTTATATCTTGAGAACTAATATGGCAGTGGATCCTAAGGGAGCTGGCTTCATTACAAAGACGCATTGATCAGGCCAATGAAAAGGGATGGAGAAGAGAATATCCTTTCATGATATTGTATTTTGTCACTCCGGATGTGACTTGTTGCTCCATTTGATTCATAACTAAGGATGATCATGCACTGAATTGCTTCGTAGTGGGGATGAAGAACGTGTTACCATTACACCAGATCTAATATTGGTGCTATACGTTTTGGTTAAATTTCTTTGTTTATATCTTTGAGTGCATGGGTTCTTTTGACGGCCATAAAATTTGAACCTTAACGTGTAATATTTCCATACACTTTCTGAGTACATGGATAGAAAGCTGCTGCTACAGACTCAATCAGAACAATCACGTTTGCTGAATGATAGACCAAAAGTGATTCCCGATATACTGTATACCAAACCCTCACAGGAGCCAGAGGATACCCCGGGTAAGGATAAACTAGAGGTTACCCCAAGTAAGGATAAGCAAGAGCAAAATGGCTTACCAAAATATGTCCCAGGAGAACCTTGCATTCCTCTCGGAAATGCTTATAGAACCACTGCAGGTTTGCCAATCTTTCTCTGTCCTCTGTCTGTCCTTGTAATTTGCAGTAATTCAATATTTTTTCTGTTAGGAATTTTCTGTCTCACTGTTTTACATGGGTTTCAGATATCTTCTGTAGGCCATTTGATTCTTGTTGAAAATTACGATTTATTAACCTGGAAGATCCATTAACCAATTTGAGTATTTATTTATACTGTTCTAAGATTCAACTACAATGAGGTTAATGTGTTACTCAGGCTAGGCTTACTTAATAATTAGAAATTGCAGGTAGTATGTCTTTTATGATATCTATCATTCCTATATCATCCACTGCATCCTCGTTTGGATTATTATTGCTTCCTTTTAGTCTGTGCACCCTTTCACTATTAAAAGCGGTTTTTACTTTTTAACTTGCCTCAAGCTTTTTTGTGGAGTTTATCTAACTTGATGTCCATAACAATCGATATTTATGAAAAATATTCATGAACACGTTTTAATTTTTGTGGCCCAGCCCCTGAGACTCCAGAAGTGAAAGGCCAAGATGGTGGGACAATTTCTGCTTTTATTAAACAATCACCTATCAGTGCTATTGTCCAAGAGAAATGCACTCCTCCAAGAAAGCAGCTTCAATCTAGTTCAAAAGTTAAGCAAGTTAACACCAACAGTGTACATTCTGAGAAGTTAAGGTTGGAAACTCCGACCTGCTATACAACATCAAAATCTGGTGTTTCTCAGCCAAGGCACTCAGATTCTGGTTCATATTTTGATGGAAGAAAATCAGATAAGCTGAATAAAAAGCAAAGCACGCCAGTTGGTGACATGATCGTTTTAAGTGATGATGATGAGCAAAATCTAAATGCTCAAATAGACAAACTAGCTGATAAAAATCCAGAAATTCCAATATGGCATTGTGTAAGTCCATGTGGTGAAAAAAGAGGGCCCTTCTCAATGTCGTTGCTCAAACGTTGGAGTGAAACTAGCTCCACTGCTTCAGAATTCAAAGTCTGGAGGACAGGTCAGAGTGAAAGAGATGCAATACTTCTCCCTGATGCTCTTCGCCAATGTTTGCCAGAAAGTTAGGTGAATGGAAACAATTGTGTAAAGTTGACTTACCCAGTATGAATGGTGTTGGAAGCTTCAGCTGGGAAAAAAAGATTACATGCATGCTTTGGGATGAAATGGTCAGGGTCTTGTGTGATGTAACATCTTGATATTCGTAGATCACCTGCACGTGTAACTTGATTCTATTTTATTTTTAGATGATGTAGCTGTTTTCTAGTTTGGGTTAGAAGAGTGTCAATGTGATACTTTGGTATTATTTTAATATATTAGCAACTTCTTTCAATTTCCCTCATGTTTGGTCTTCCTCTCATTAGAGAATGTTGCGTCATGCTATAACCACTGAGAAACTTCAGTTCTTCATAGATAAAATGCTCTTCACTAGTAGATCACAATGACAGTTACAAGTCTAGTTTTGGACATCGATGACCATATAAATTTTCTCCATCTTTCCTCAAGCCATTTTGAGCATAGGATTTCTACCTCTGTTCCTCAGTTTTCTAGTGTTATTAATGGGATCAAAGAAGCTCCTTTGGATCAACCAGAGAGCAGAATGTTGTCAAAAAAGCAAGCAAACTGTAAACTGTTGGCAGAAATGCAGTTAATTTAGACGAGAAAAAGATAAGTAAGTTTGGCCTTCAACTTAATGTGCTGGCCCCACAATTGACTCATTTGCTTGCTTTTTCCAAATAACATAACTGTAAGTGATCACTTTTGAACATATATTCAGAGAAGCAAATAAATATATTGATTGACTAGTTTACCTAGCTTTGAATGATAATTTTGACATCATAATTTTTGAAAATCCATTGATAGGACATAGAATCCTTTTGAATTTGGACTTGACTTGTGTATTTTTCTTTTCTTCACAGGTTTTTAGTGGCCTTGTGGTCATTAAAAAAAAAAAAAAACATAACAACATAAACATAGATTCAATCACTTCCTCATTCTCTCTTTTATTATAGTACTTTTGTGTTTGCTAGAATACAATTAACGCAATGAGGAACAGAGAAAACAGTCTACAATAAGAATAGCCAAAATCTATATTCTTCATGGTAGATTTGAACGTATCCTGGCTCAAGGAAGGAAAGCGCTAATCGCACTTCAATCACAAGGAACCTCTAAATTTCTGTGTTGTTCTAACAATTTGGCACTTGAGTTTGGACCTTCTAAGATGGGCTAAAATTCTCCTACTGGTTGCTGCTTGCAGCATTATTTTCTTTCCTAAAAGCATCTGGCCTTTGCTTGAACTCCTTACTCCTTTCAAAATTTTCCTTTCGCTTCAAAGTTTTCTGTTTGAACAAGTCATTAAGGAGTGGGTGAAACTGAAAACACAGAAAAACAGAGCAGTCTAATGAAAAAGAAAACAGTAAAAACTCACTTCCTACCTGAAACAGCGATCCAACTTTATCTTCAGATCCGTACATTTACCAAAGAATTTTCCATATGGATGGTCTAAATGGCACTGTTGCAACTGCTCAATAATCTGCACAAAGCAGAGCCCAGAACCATTTTTTACTGATAGTACCGCAAAATCTTTATCATCAACAAGTATTATTGGCTATATGAATTGCATTACACTATTTGTGCTCTATCAACAATCAAAATTGTATATTGTAATTAGTGATGACACATGGTCAAAAACTGGTTGCAACAGAGATATTCAAACCCTAACATTCAAAACAAAGCCCAGGGCTATTTCACAGTATCCAACAAGAAACAACCATCTTGCAGTGATATGTCATGGAGATGGAAAGATATAATGAAAATATGAACAAGAAGAAATCGATACAGTAATTAATAAATTTAAAAATAAAATAAAGAAAAAGCATATGTTTAAACTCACTTCTGCGCGCATTGGGTGTTTGTGTAGGGTTTATATTATTATATACACTACAATGAATGACAATACATACATATATAAATATATATATGCTCAATTAACAATGTTTGGATTTAGAGATTGTTTGGTTAGTTTGGTTAGAGGTAAGTAAGGAGCAGAAGTCTAACTTCATGAGAAGTATCGAAATCTATTTTTGCTTAACTTAAAGTCTTAACTTCTCGGAAAGTTAAGGTTCATACATCTTCTACAGTAAAAAAAAACTTAATCAGTAATATTTAAATAAGTTTTAGTTATTGTCTCTCAAATAAAAGATGATATATTTTTTTAATAGAATTTATAGTAGGAGGCTAACCTTTTTCAAGAAATAATATAAAAATATTAATACAAATTTATTATCGAACAAATAATCTATATTGATAATCTACATGCCTTATCTTGATTGAAAGCAAATAGATTAAATAAATAATACTCCCTTAGACTCTATATATAATATATAAAAGATTTTCTAAAATTTTTTTTATCCCTAAATGTAAGGACTTGTTAACATATTTTTTTAATGAATAGACCATCATATCCTTATTAAATAGGAAAGAGAAAAAGATAAATATTCTCATTAATTTATTTTTAAAAAATTTATTTTTTATTTACAATAATTAAAAATAAAATTAAAATATTGTTGTATTGTTAATTAGATAATTAACTTTTATTGATTTATGTGATTCAATTAAAAATATCTTATATATAAAAATGGAAGAAATACACAACAAGTAGGTATTTTATTTTCAAGATGTAAAAGGATTGATAAGAAGAAATAACATGACTCATGAGGCTAATAGTAGTTGGTTTTAGTGAAAGGATTTTGATAACTTAAAATACGAGTTTCAAGTTTCAATCCATATAAATGCAAAACTTCAATTAAAAGAGTTATTTTCTAGATGCGGCCACTAGTGGACTATGGGACCCAAGATAATGCACGTGCTCCTCACATGATTAGCAATGGACCCGCTGTGCTGAGAAGGAATAACTGCCCCAGGCGTGTCATGTCGGAAGTTGAGAAACTCGGGAACTAGGCACGTTATGTGTAATTTTAATTAAATAGTTTTACTTAAGCCTCTTATTTGTTTCCTCTTCCCAATGCTCCAAATAATAATAATAATAATGAAATCGCTTCTAACCAATAAAATCAAGACTATATGAGAGAGAAGTGAGCTCTCGCACCATCAATCTAAATGTGAAAAAACTTTTATTAAATCATAAAATTATTTTAAATTTTCATATTTTTTTCATTAACGTTGTCAGTCAATTACTTCTGTATAGTTGTTAATTATTATTTTTTAGTTGTTAATTAACAACTATTCAATAATGATTGACACTTTTAATATAATAAATTGATAACATGAGGAAATGACATGAGACTTTACATCACAATAATTTTTTGCATTTTCATATGACTTTTCTTTATTTAAATTGTTTGGATGAAACATGAGAGTGATTTTCTCAATATCCACCCCCCCGGCCTTTTTCACCTCTCCTTCCTTTTTCTCATTCTACTTTCTTCAAAATCTTTTTCAAAATACTAAATCGGCGTCAAGCTGCGTTTGATTAACGAGAAAGTCATTTAATGAAGTGAATATCACAATTAAAGACCCTTGAAGATGATTAATTATGTTATAAGACTAAATGATTCTAATATTATTTTGCAGACCAAAGCACCACAACAAAAAAATACTCTATATGTGTATATTATCTACTCTTTTAACACCAGCACCCCATTATTTGTTTAAAAAAAAAACACCCCATTTTAAAAAATACAAATCTCATTCACATTTTAACAATAATTATTTTTTTATTAATAACTCTAAAAAATTAATTTGGGAGTGAAGAAAAACAAGTGTTGTGATTTAGGAAACAAGTTCTTATTAAAAAAAAATAAGTCTTATTTTTATTTTAACAACAACCAATTTTATTATTAACAATTCTAAAATATTAACTTGACGGTAAAGAGGAATAAGTGTTGTAATTTGGTGAACAAATCTCCATTCGAGAAAAAATAAGTATTATTTTTATACTAACAATAATTAATTACTTTATTAACACCAACAAAATATTAATTGGTAGATGAATTGTTATAACCTAGAGAATAAGTCTCCATTCAAGAAAAAACAAATCTCATTTTTATTTTAACAACAATTAATTCTCTCGTCATAATAAAAATACATCAAGAGTAGTTTTTTTTTTAAACAAATTTTAATTACATTTAGATCCTTTGATTCTATAAAGTAATATTAAAATTCTTTGATTTTGCAATTTAATTAATTATCTCTAGGGATCCTTGATTGTGATTTTCCCTTTAATGCTTGACAAGTGTGAGAAAAAAGTGTTTTAAGTGGGCGTCTCTAGTAAATGATGAGATTTTTTTTAAAAAAAAATGACAGTAAAATCTTTACAAAATATGTAAATGATAATTTAATCCTTTGAAATGTTATAATTCCACTGAAGTCTCTTAGGACTTTTTTATCATTAATAAATTTATTTAAATGATCAAATTACTCTTGTTGAAAATAAAATAATTTACAAGTTTTGTTTAAATAATCACAACTTTTCTTCTTATATTTGCAACAATGTAATAGTAAATTACAACTCTACATGTTAAATTCTTAATTTGTTGTTGTATTGTTGCAAGTATAAGAAAAAAAGTTGTGATTATTTAAATAAAACTTGTAAATTATTTTATTTTCAATGAAGGCAATTTAATTATTTATATAAATTTATTAATAATAAATTTTTTTAAAAAATTTATTAAAATTATGATATTTTGAGAAATTAAATTATTATTTATATATTTTAAAAAAATTTATTATCATTTTTCTCTTTTTTTTCCAAAAAGAGTTTCGAATTTCTTTTTCTTCCACCCTCATTGTGTACTATATTTCCCTTTTCCCTGGCAATTCGACCATTGAAGTTTTTTCAGAGCATCACATTCGAGAATCTCTTAAAAAAATTATTCGCCAATGAAATTGTTTATTATTAAAATGATAATATAAACTTTTTGGATATGTGAATATGAAAATTATATTCATACTTTATGACCTCGCCACCACATAACAATCTCATGTCATTTTTTATGTTATGAATTCAATTATTAAAATTATACACTTGTTAGGACAATAAAAAAATAATATGTGAATATCACTTTGATTTTTCCACCCACTAAAAAAAATTAAGGGAACAATTAGAAAAGGAGGAGAGATATGATGGACTTTTGTGCATAAATTTGATTTAATTAGTTAAAAGTCAAAATCATTGAGTTAGTTATAGGAGATATATTCGTGGATCAATTTATGCAAAATATTTTAATAATATATTTGATATGTGGATAAAAGAAAAAATCACCTCTAGCTGATTTTGTAAATGAACCATATTTTAAAATATTCAAAAACTCCATCTATAATTTATAAGAACTGTATTTTTTATGATTATTGGGCCAATTTACTCTTTAAGGAGTCAATAAAAATATTAAAGTCCAAATCATTGCAACGCGCTTGTTATGGAAACTAATGTGAACCCCCTGCATTGCACTGGTATGAATGAAACATGAGCAATGGTTGAAAGAAACAATAACAAAAGGAAATGGATTAGAACAATTTGAATGGATATGATGTTCGAATATAAACACTTGTATTTATTAAAACTTGCAATGTTAGAATATCAATATGAAATTGATTGTCAGGGAATACAATATTTAAGAAAAAGAATATGAACACTTGTATTTGTTAAAACTTGCAATGTTAGAATATCAATATGAAATTGATTGTTAGGGAATACAATATTGAAGAAAAGAATAAACATTAATTACATTCAAAAGTCATGGCCCACATTTTGAAATATTTCCCTATATATAACATCCTACGCAGATCATGTTTTTGCTTTGAGGTCATCATTAAGTATTAAAATCTTCAATAATCCATCAATGTTTCTAACCCTTGATGAAGTAACATGTAACTAGTCATGAGAGAACACTTCTTTAAGAACATAGACTCTAACTTTTGATAAAGATCGCCCTTGACTTTTATTTATTGTTATTGTAAAGGACAAGACAATTGAAAATTGCCCTTTTGCACATGGTAAATGATAATCTCATTTCATATGGATTCATATCCATCATATGAATATAAACCTAATCAGCAGGTTTTGAACAATTCAGAGTTATTCTTTTAATAAAATGTTTATCAAGAAGAATAATCCTAAACATGGTCCCATTTCACAACCTAGAAGCTTGATCAATGTTTCTTAGAAGTATTACTAGAACACAAATTTTAAGACTCAATTTGTGAGGAGTCATACCAAAACAATTGAATGTTTGAAAATTCAATTGTGAAAAGCTCATTGAAGCCATCAAACTCCTGATCTCTCATGCAAAGTGAAAATAAACTAAAGTAGTCAACTTCGTTATCTGGTAATAATGAGCAAAGATAAGAATTCACTTGATTAACAATATCTATTGTTGGGGCTAAAATTGCTCTTTTTATGAAGAACTTAGTATCTAAGTAATTCCCAAGCAACTTTGGACAGGCAAAAGATAGTATTCCTTCAATGGGATTTGAGAAATCAATGACACCAATAGTTGGGGTAATATTTTAACCTTACAGGTGCCATCATGTGGTAACCCTAAGGCACCATCACCAAAACGTACAAGCCACTCTATTTCAATCTCATGGGTTTGATTGGTGTCAATTTTGCGCGTTGCACGGTTGTGAATGAAACAATTTTATGATCTCTAATTGAACAAAAAAAATAGAACAAAAGGAAACGGAATTGAACAATTGAACTTATATTACGTTTGAATGTTTAACTTATGTACCAATCAAACCTGGCAACATTGGAAATTATGATGAAAAAATGTGTAAACACTTTAATTACTTTAATTCTAGTCCATCAACTTGAAAAAGATTATTTATGCAAAAATTAAATTAATAAAACTACCAAATATATCAATATAAGTTGAAACAGATTGTTAGAAAATTATTTTTCGCGTATGATCATATTACAAACAGCATAGTTTATATACTCCTCAATTCTTCTAAGCCTTTATTTGCCTTTATTTGTGCAAGCCTTTGT